CCGTCGCTCGCTTCACTTCCTCCGACTTCCTCTTCCTCAGGGATGGTTCCCAGGCCTTCTCCAACCATCCCCGCAGGAAAGCTTTCGTCGACCAGCTGGGCCCACGTAGGCCTGACTTTCTGGTCGGACCCGCTCCAGTGCTCAACGATGGCTCTCGCCGCAGTCCTCACGAATTTGCTTGAATAAATGGCGGCCCTGGAGGTCTGATGGCTTCCCTCGAGGATGGCGTGTCGAATGGCCCCCCTGTGCACAGCCTCCCATCCAGCAGAGACAGTATCCTAGGATGGTTAGTCAGCAGACCGGTGGGCTTCTTGTTGAGGCCACGGTCGTCCACTCGTAGCTCGAAAGCGCACATATCGACCCTTAGTCGTCTGACGGAGGGGAGAGAGGAGATCAGCTGGACGACCTCAGTGTGCCACGAGCTGGCGTACAGTGGATGTGCAAACACAAAAAACCTGCCTCTCGAGTGTTGATATTTCGCAATTTCCATACACAACGTGAGATCTCTGAGACCCTCGAGGACTTGCTGGAGCCACCTTTGAGGATCGCGACGATCTCGATTGATCCTGTTGATCGCGGAAAAGACATTGCATTCAGAGCTAAACCATATCGTTTCGGGATATTTCTTCTCGATTTCTCGCCGGAGATGCCGAACGTGTTCTTTGATCCCCGAGTCCCATCCTATCAGCCTGTCGAAACTCGCACTCGAACCCAAACGCCCCCCTCTCTTTTCCACTTCGGGGGCTATACGAGGGGGAGAGAAGACCTCCATGAACGAGGTCTTGGCCTTGGTGGCCTGTTCCGCAATGAACGTTCCCGAGGATGGGCACCCGTGGGTCTCAAGTTGCCCCTCGAGAGCTCCCCGAACCTTGAGTCCCCAGGCCGACTCATGATCGTCGTTAAACTGATCACATTCAAGCCAACTCTCGAGAAGGCCGTCCTCCACGGTTTTCGAGCCCCGTCCAGCCGTGGCAAAGGCCCCGTCGCCTTTCGACCCGGTCTAAAGACTGGGAAACCTACCGGGAAGCTCCAGAGGCCCCTTTGGTGTTCTGGAGGGCCTTCCTCTCTTTCTCTTTTTTTTGCAAATGCCGGCGGTAAAAGCGCTGGTGGCGCTCGTGCGTCGTGACACGGAATCCCTTGCCCTGTGGCGAGGGTAGCAGCGGCACGGGGGCTGATCTACACCAAGTCCCACGTGCCGACCGATGTAGTGGTGGAGGAGGTCGTGTCCTCCTCCTCTGAGCCCTCGGGGATCGAGCAGATCCCCGTCGCCTGAGTTGGGAACGGCTTGGCAGGCGGCATCGCCTGAGGAGGCGATTTGGCCGGCGGCTGCTCCAGTGGTGCCGTCCAGGCTGGAGCCGTGGGAGTCCGCGGATCCCCGTTCTGCCAGCCGCTCCCGCTGCTGGAGCTGGCCATCGCGTGCTGATTCAGCGTGTGCACCATCGCCGTGACAGAAGATGCCACCTGCACTAGAAGATTCAGCATGTGGTCGACTGCCTGATGCATCGATGTTGTCTCGAGCTGCATCGCGGTCAGCTGGTCGGCGATCGAGTCGATGGATTCTCCGAAGTTCTCGAAAACGCCTAGCATGCGCTGAACGTGGACCACCGATTGGTACACTTCCTTAAGTCCCTCTTCTAGCTGGCTGTTGCTGCCAATTTGTTTGGGCGCCACCAGCTGCTGCATCTGCTCGACGACTGGCTGAATGTTGGCCAGTAGCTGTAGTCCCTCGGGTAGAATCTGAAGATGATGAGAGAGGTCATCATCGCCGAGATCCCGTTCACAGCGTTGAGGGTCGCCGCACCGTCGACGAAACCCTCTCTCTCCTGAATCATATGAATGGCCCTCTCTGCTGTGGCGGCGGCCCGACGGGCTGCCTGAGCCGCCGACCCGGGTCGTTCGGCTGGAGCGCCACCCTCCTGCCCCCGAGGCGTCCACTCCAAGCGATAGCCGCATAGACCGCGCTTGAAGCCTCGCCCATGCTGATTTCCATATGGCTGCCTCCGGTCTGCAGGATGGTCGCATCGGGGAGGCGGCTTGTAGGGAATCTTCGATGCTTTCGGCATGGGCTTCTGTATCTGCGGATACTGCTGAGACCAGCCTGGTCGTCCGCCGCCTCCTGGGTTCGCCGCGGCTGCTCCTGGTGCTACTGCTGCGGCTGCACCCAAGCTGCTGCTGCTGCTGCTGCTGATGCCGACCCAGTGGTTCGAGGCTGCGGCCGCTGCTGTCCCCTGCTGATGTGCTCCCGTCTCGTTCTCCATCCCGTTGGTCAGCTCCTCGTACTCCTGCTGAACCCGGCGAAGCTGCTCCTGCAGCTGGCGAACCCGCTCTTCTTTTGCCGGAAGATCGGGTGGAGCCTTCTTCGGTCCTCCGTATACCACGCCTGCAGTGCTGAGAAACATCAGCGTCACCAGGACTGAAGGCATTGTCCTGTCTCTGATCTTGACTGGAGAGAGAACCGATACTCTCAAGGTTATCGATGTTGGAAGGCTTCGAGCCGAGAAAGGCTACGGAGGCGAGAGCTGTGACCCATTGGGGAAGACTGCTTCTACGGGGTAGCGTCCTGTTTCTCGGCGGTGTCCGAGTTACGGCTTCAGTCTTGACGAGCTCCCTCTGGATCACCTTAGTGTGATGGTCCCCAACTAAGCCCCGATCTGGTTCTGCTAGGCCCTGCTGCTGAGCCCGTGACTGACACTGGTACTGCTCTGCCCTCGAGAAGTCCTCGCAATTGCTCTCAAACTCCGTCGGGTATACCCTGGAGTGGCCTGCGAAACCGAAGACGTTCTCCGTGTCCGCTATCCCTAAGTACTCCTCGTGAGCGTCCCCCTGGAGGTCTTCGAGGTCCTCGAGATCTGTGATCTGCTGGGCCTCTGGGCCCTCGAGGTGGGCCTTGAAATCAGAGTTCCGGGGGCCCCTTCTACGGGGCCGGGTACTTCTTGAAACGATGCCCAGACCGAAGACGCAGGAG